TTGTGTGGCCAGCTCAGCCCACCAGGGGGCAGGCAGGCCAGCATGTGGTGCTGCGGGATTGAACCGAGGTCTCTGTGCTTTGCTTGAGCTTAGCTTGTTATAAGTAGGTGCTTTAGGCCACTGAGCCATCTCACCAGCCCCACACTTTCTTTTTAATATAACCACTTACCTACCTACTCATTCTCATTTTTTCAAGCAACACATTTACTAATGTACAAAAAGTAAATCATTTGCATGGTGTAATTTTCTCTTTACTACTGATAGCCAAATGACTTAACTGCAACTTACAACAACTTTAGAAAAATTAGGAAAAGCATAAGGAAGCTAGATTTCTTTCTTTTTTTCAGGACAGGGTCTTTGTAATTCAGTCTGGCCTCAAACTTGTGGCAATTATCCTGCCTTACCTTCCCAAGCACTGGGATTACAGGCACACACCACCATGTCTAGGCAAAGAAGCTAGATTTTGAAATGATTTGTAAAGATAAACTACCACTTACTCATGAATGGATTAAGAAAGATCAACAGAATCTATGATAAGAAGCAGAATTCTGGAAGAAAGAATGGTAGTGATATTCATTAATAAGTAGGAGAGAGGAAAGATGTAAGATAAAGGAAGTATCAATTAAAGTCCCTAAGGCAGTAGGGAATGGAATTCAAAGCAGCATGTTTCAATAGAGGAAAAAGGAACATATCTGCACAAAATATCAAAGGGTACATACATTTTCTATGCACATAAATTTATTCTTCTACAACTGGCAAGTTAGAGACGTTTACATGCATCTGAATATTGAAATTTTAACAATAGTGTTCCCTGTGGGATGGGCTCATGGCCTATCATTTTACTAATCTCTTCTATATTCTCTGAATTTTCTATAATAAACATATAACTATTTTTAAGTATCTTTGTCCTCTGCATTACAGGTCACGATTAACACAGAAAATTTAGAAAACAAAGCAGAGAAGAAAAAATAATACCCATAATCTCTCAATGAATTGCTCTCAGGTTAAAAAAGTAAGTATGAGTTACATTATTGAACATTTTCTCAGAAAAAAGAACATTAATGGGAATACTGAACTAGAATAATCAAAACTCTGTAGCATGAAACAAAGAGAGGAGTCTAGTTTCTATTTCTAATTAAAAAGGGAGAAGTCATATATTTGGGGCTTATTAATTTAAAGCTAAATTTTTAATAATGTCTTCCTTATTGGCTATAACTATTTTTGCTTTATGAGTATTAACTTAATTATAACTAGCATCTATTAATTCAGTCTTCCTGCTAACAATATTAAAAAAAGAAAAATTTTAAATAGAGGCTTACAGTTGTGGTAAATTTGGCCTAACAAAGGGATCATTTTCTGCTCCGTTGACTGCTTTGTTTTTTCTTTGTTTTGGTTCAGAATTGGTAGAAGGTGCCTGAGAATTATTAGCTGTGGGAGGTTTGCGTTTGGCTAGAAGTTTTCTTTGTCTTTCAATATCTTCCCTTTGCTGATTCACCCACTCTTGTTGCCTGTGTAAAAACGAGCAAGTAAAAACCATATTAAGATTCCATTACTTTTCACAGTTACAACATGAAAAAATAAAATCTAAGAAAACATGGAAAAAAATCACTTAATATAAATTTGTAACCTCTTGGTATTTTTCTTGAGAGAAAACTAATACTCATTTTTCAGGTATCATCTGAAACAGTCATGAGGTATTCTCTAGACTCCTGAAGTAGGGAAAGGCATGTTTTCATATATAAGCTCATGGTACCTTGTTTCTACCTCCACCTTTCTAACAAATATCATCCATAAATATCTCATAACAATGTGTCAGATTACCTACATCACTCCACAAGAGACTGAATCTATTTTGTCTATTACTTAGCATTGTGATCAACATATACTGGTTGTGCTTAATAAATAATAATAAAAAAGCAATATACTAACATGAAGTATACTTCATCACTTTGTATTTGCAGACAAGCTTATAAAAAGATAATACAGAAAGTATCATTCTAAATTTTTTTTTTCACATTTATCTGTTAAATTCTGGGAATGAGCAGCTGATATTTTGCAATGAAACAAAAATTTATCTTAATCTTAACAATTTAAGGGGAAAAAATTTTAGTAATTTAAGCAAAATGGAATAAGAAATAGCAAGAAAAATAAGCACAAATTTGGAAAAACAACAAGCAATTAATAAATGTAAAGTCATTAATATCTCCCATTCAAGAATCTAAAACAATTTTCTAAAGAGTCACTAATTCTAAAAACTAATAGATATTGTACCTAATATCATACAAGAGTTTATTTTACATTTATTCTAGTCGTAACTATGTCCATTTTAGGTCAGCTCACCATGTGAAGAAAGTTGTTTTTTGTTTTTGCTTTTATTTTGAGACAAGGTCTCATATAATCCAGGCTGACCCTGAACTCACTATATAACCCATGCTGGCCTGGAACTTACGATCTTCCTGCCTCAGCCTCCTGAGTGCTGGGGGATTATAGGCATGTGCAACCATGCCTAGCTGAAGAAAGATTTTTTTAAGACCAGATATGGTTATGCTATTTAGATTTAGAGCAAGTCAAATGTTTTATCCATGCCTACCTCTACCTTTAAACCAGCAACTACACAGTACCTACTCTGCTGCTGCAGAAGTGGCCTTGCTACATTCCTTCTCCTGTAGTTGTAGTGAAGAGATAGAAGAACATGACAGCAAAGAAGCAAGAACTGATGCAAAACAACAAAAAGTTATATAAAAAGTTCAAGAATAGAAAAATGAGCATAAGATTTTAATAGTTTATACTGGAAAGGAGGAAAAATAATTTCAATTATTAAAAGGGCAAATTTCTTAGTTCGGTGCTCAATTACTTCCCCCTCCATGTTAAAGCTATTTTAGAATAAAATCAAGATTCTTACTATCTGGATAAACAGGTTTATGAAATCCTAACTGAAAATAAAGAATTAACAAAATGAATATGTAGCTAGTACTTGATTATAATATGTAATAATCACCCACTTCAGAGATTAATAGGATTTTTTTTTTTTTTGTAGAACCGGGGATTGAACTCAGGCCCTTGGGCTTATTCTACTGAGCCATCTCCCCAGTCCCTCCCTTAGATTAATTTTTAAAATATGATTTTTATGTATTAATTTCTTTTCATCTTCCAACCACTTTCACTTATATCACTGATTATAAACAGTGTGACATAATATATGTAACAACGTAATTTAGTCCACTAAATGCTTATTAGTGGTATTTAAAACATGCAACTAATTTTTATTTTCTTTGTTAGCGTAATAAAGTAACTACTGGCAAAATTAATATTTTTGACCATGCACATTAAATTACACAACCCTTTATTTCTTACAGAACAATTGCATCTCTGGAATTAGTAGCAGAGGTCCCTGCTCACAAAACACTAAAAATAATGATTTCTACCTCAAATCCATTTCTGTATCCCTATTTTTAGTCAGTATTTTAGCTGTAGCATAATCACCTATTATCTGAGTATCTCTCCATTTTAGCGATCTATAATTCATTCCCTTTCCAATATCACTTCTACACTTTTTTTTTTTTTTTTTCCGGAACCAGAGATTGAACTCAGACCCTTGCATTCGCCAGGCAAGGACTTATTCTACTGAGCCATCTCCCTGGCCCCTACACTGTCTTAAAGAGTCTCATTCTACAACTCAACTCTGATCATACATAACATGTAAGCCTTTAACATTTTCATTATTTACAGAATTAAAACCGAAAGTGCTAAATATTCCAAAGACATTGTCCTTCATTATAGCATACAAAACTGAGCATGGTTATACTAAACAAAAGATCAATAAATCTGCTCTAGTTGGTCTGTGGTAAGACTTGAAAAATAATGTCTGATGCCCAAATGTTAATGTAATACTACATGAAATAAACTTTGCCTGTTTTCCAAATGGGACTGACTGGAAAACATAATGTAGACAATGGTACTACTCCTGCTTTAACAAGTATTCCAGCAAGGAAAATAAGTAAGTAATAGCATTAAGTTCTGTTCTTTTAAAATACATAAACCACCAACTTATCCTTACTTGTCACTAGCAATACTCAAGGTAATATAACAGTGATTTATTTGTTTTAAAGTTACCTTTAAAATACTGCAGTCACATGATCAATTCCAATAATGAGTTACTGTATTTGATGCAAAGATAAAAGGTCTTTCCCTTAGTGTGGAGAGCAGGGAAAACCTGACACTTGAGTACTAACACTTAAGGTTGAGAACAGGAAAGAGTAAAAGGCCAGGCATGTTGCATGTGTCTGCAGTCTCCCCGCTCACAGGCATGGGGCAGGAGGTTCACTTAAGTCTAGGAATTTGAGACTAGTTTGGGCAATATAGGAAGATCCCACCTCAAAAAAGTAGAAAAATTTCAGGCAATATATAGTCAGAGCTAGTGAATATAAAATTGTCAGCAATTTTCCTTCCAAAATAACTTTATGGCTAAAGGGTCAGTTTATACTTTGGAAAGTCAGATTTAGACTAATATATCCCATAGGTGAATGTTAATTTTCAAATAGTCTGCTACAGCTGAACTTGTAATGCTTGTTTCATATTCTTTTCAAATGTGCTAAGTTCTATGATTTCAAATAAGATGTTGAACATAAACTGCAAATTTATAATCCTTTAAAGTAATACAAACACAAAGGAATGCTAAATTTTTAAATGCAAGAATGACTAACTTCACAAGATTCTGAAATGCAAAGCCATCTGTCCATTGTTCAGTAAATGATGCACCATGTCTAACTGTTGTAAAGTGCCCCAGGCGTAATCTATCTTGCATACTTTTCTCTCTGCTTGACAGTTTTTCTTGTGTGCTCTGAAAAAGGACAAGAAAAAAAAACTTTCAGTTTTATTCATCTAAATTTGACAGTGCACAAGGCAAAATAGGCTAGTGAAAAGAAATTTTAGTGAACTTTGTTTGACCTTACCTTTTTTTTTTAACCTTACCTTCTCAATAAGAAGTTTCTTGCTCATTGATATGCACTTATTTAATCTCTCTTTGTATTTTTCAAGTAATTTTTGTTGATCATCTATTTGTCGTCTGAGATCACAGTTAGCCTATAACATAAGCAGGAAATGCAAAAGATCTAGAATTTGTGTATGTGCAAAGCTTAAAAATACTTTTAGTCTTATCAGTAAGTTATATAGAGAAGAGATTATTATTAAATATTTGACTCTTACATTTAAAAAGCCTACATAACTTAGGGCTAATATCATTAAATTTTATATAACTGTGGAAAGTACATGAAGTTTAGATGTATGTACTTTATACATTCAAATCAACCAAAATGTCCTCCAAAAGTCTCAAGTTTACTGGTAGGGCCTGATTAGAGTTGGCAGGTCACTAAAAAAGTACTTTCTGTGTCTGTCCCCTTCCTCCCTCCCTCCCATCCTCTCTCTCTGCTTCCTGGCCACCATGATGTGAAGTTTTCTTCCACTTGTACTTTCACAATATGCTTTCTCCTTGGAGCTGGCCAATCGCATACTAAACCCACAGAATGCCCCCCACCCAACCCATACTTCCCTTCCTTTAAATTGCAGGTGTTGAGAATTTTATTCCAAGAATAGGAATGCTGAGTAGTACTAAAAATTGATGTCAGATGTAGAGTTGTTGTGACTACCTATACCTAATGGTGAGGTGTTTGTATGTGTGTGTTTTTTTTGTATTTAGTACAGAGTCTACAGGGTCTCACTATTTGGATCTAACTCTTAGTGAATCTTCTGTTTACAGCCTCCCAAGTGCTGGGATTACAGGTGTATGTCACCACAGCCAGTCTGTATCCTGGGGGCGGGGCCAGTATGGCTTGGTCTTATAGGGTATGGGGCTGGTGTGGCATATGGTGCCGCGAATTGAACCCCTCCAACCCAGTTTATGTTGTGTTTAATTTTCATTTTATAGGGATTCACAGTTAAAGAGTTTGCCTTGAGCCTCACAGGAGAATCTGAACTTTTCAGCAATGTTGGAATTAAGACTTTGTCAACTCTTTTTTTTTTTTTTGCAGAACCAAGGATTAAACTCAGGCCCTTGCGCTTGCCAGGGAAGCACTTATTCTACTGAGCCATCTCCCTGGCCCCTTTGTCAACTCTTAAGAAATGGGATAAAATGCATTTTACACAATGAAATGCATATTAGTCTTTGGGGTGGGGGAGGAGTGGAATGTAATGGTGCAAATTTAAATTATTCCTCAAAAGTCTCATTTTCGGAGGTGCCATCTGGTAGGAGTGGGCTTTTCAACTGGAGCATAATGTGGAAGGGAGTAGTTTTGCTCCCCATCCTCTCTCCACTTTCTGTCTCCTATGACATGAGCAGCTTGAGTTCTCTGTCATGAGCTCTCACCATATGGTTCTCACCTGGGAGCCTGGTGCCTGTGGCTGAACCCATGGAAATCGTGAGCCAAAACAAACCTCACCTAAGTTGCAGGTAGTGGGTATTTTGTCCCACCTATGAGAAAGCTGAGTAACATGGTTATCTAGATCTAAGTACAGTTTTTAAATTTCTAATTTTCTCCATTTAACTATTGGATGATACTACAACTTGCCTATCCACTAATTACCTGCACCATTCTTCCTTGGCAATAGGATACAACTCTGTTCACTTTGTACAGAGCAGTGTGCTCAGAGAAGATGCATCTCTCTAATCTCAGATAAATCTGATTAGTAAAATGGTAAGAGAATAATCTGGAGGTTTTGCTGAAATGTAAAAATTGAGTGTTCTGAGTCAAGTGGTCTGGGAAAGAGCTTAAGAATTTCCATGTCTAACAAGTTTTCTAATAATGCTGAAGCTTCTGGTATGAAGATCATATTTTGAGAACACAGGGCTAAGGAAATCATAATAGAAGCTAAAAGACAGTGGCATATCTTGAAAATACAGGGAGAAAATAACTATGAATCTAAAATTACATACTCAAAAAAATGTTTTTTCAAGGAAGAAAAAATGGAATTTTGCAACAGTAGATCTTCATAATCACATGTAATTCAAACAAAACTGCCACAAATTATGGCATATGATATGTATATATGTAACTTGAAAACTCAATCTAAAATTTTTTAGATTGCAAAAGACCAAAAATAGTTAAAATTAAGAGATATCTGTTCAACATATATCAAGACATCAAGAACTATGATGGTAATGCCCCTCTTATGCAACAATCCGGCATTTTATTTTGAACATCTATCTAACTTAACAACTACATTTCCCAATTTTCTTTGCAGCCATGTAATGATGGTTAATGAAATTTAAGCAAAAGAAGTTCAACAGGATATTCAAAAAGACTACAGAGTTGTAGATTTTATTCTTCTCTATTTCTGCTTTCCATTTACAACAGAAAGGGTAACTATGACTAATACATCCTATTTTGGACTTTGATATGACCTTCAAGATGGAAGCCATACATAAAGGAGGAGGAAGCAGAACAACTGAAGGAGCTAAGATCCCATATGACAACTGATGGGCAACCATATATGGGCTACCTTCTCTGTTCCTTTAAAGTGTTCTTGAAAGTGTTGTTTATATTTTCTGTTACTAACAAAGATGACTGCTAGCTGATAAAAATATGCTACAGTACCCATGTAGTGACACACAAGGAGAATAATGTAACATAATATAGAATATTAAATAGAGCCACTTACATATAAAAACAAGGTTTTCTATCAGAAAAAGAATGGACTATTAAGTGGGGTCAGACATACATTATCAACATGGACAGAAATAAAATGAAGCCCCACTCTATACCATATTCAAAAGCTACTTGTAGTAAGATTAACAACTTATAATTGAAAGATAAGACTAAAACCTTTCAAAAGAAAACAAAATATGTTTAGGATCTTAAAGATTCTTTTTTTTTTTTTTTTTTGCGGAACCGGGAATTGAACTCAGGCCCTTGTGCTTGCCAGGGAAGCACTTATTCCACTGAGCCATCTCCCTGGCCCTCTTAAAGATTCTTAATTGTTTTGGTATATAATAATAATTTAGGATAATCATTATATGTATCTAAAATGTAACAATAAAAATAAAATAAAATGTAATAATAAAATCTCATTTTAAGGCTGGCAGGATAGCTCAGTAAACTGAAGTGCCTGCTTAGGCAGAGTGCAGTGGTCCGGGTTCAATTCCTGGCATGTCATGCTGGACCTGTGTCTGGGGCTCACTGAGCCAGCGATTGAAACTGAGCATGGTGATCTGTGCCTATAATCCCAGCACTGGGGAGGCTAAAAATAGGAGAATCACTACGAGTCAGATCTACATAGTAAGACCTATACTAAATGCAAAAAAAACCCCAAAAAACAAAAAGCCATAAAAACTCATTTTAAAAAATGATGAGCATAAACAGATCTTGAAAATATAACAAATCACACAGGAGAAAAATTAAGAATAAACAAACTATCAATAAGAAAGATATTTAATGACAAAAACTGAAAATGTATCTAACCATTAAAAGTTAGCATGATGTACTAAAAAGACAATTCACAAAAATGACAAAAAAACTGATTGACATGACCAACCAAAACTTGGCATAAAAGTCATAAAACAAATTTTGAAAATTGGCCCCCAAAAATCTCCCAATCAACTATTTCACAAAAAACCCTCAAATAGCTAATATTTTAAAAGGTGCTCAAAGCCAACTAGAAAATAAAGAATATATACGATTTAAAAAAACTATGTTGGGCCTGGGAGATGGCTCAGTGGAATAAGTGCTTCCCTGGCAAGCACAAGGGCCTGAATTCAATCCCC